TAGAACTAAATTAGGTAAATTATTTATTTGCGTTGACATAAATGACCTAGTTGTTTCTCTGTTGTGCCAACTTAATGCCTTCTATTTTTCTTCTATTTTTTTAATGGGAAATAACACTACTCTCAGCTCAAGAAGGTAAAGTCTAAAAATAATCTAAAAGAATTTACTGCATCAATACTTTGAGTGGATTTAATTGCAGTATACGGGTATACCCGTTGCATCCCATAGTAATTTTTCATTGTTTTGAAAAAAATTCCAACGGACAAATGGGATGGCAATACGCATATGCTGGAAATGAATCCACCCGAAGCAATACAAAAGGCTACTTCTACACTATACCGGATAGCTTTCGTGCCAACATGAAAAGCTATTCAATACAGTATGAATGGCAACAGCACAGAACTATAACAAGTCTTTCCCCCAATCGAACATCGTATTGGACGAGAAGGATTGGTGCACGAAATTTACTTCCGTCTCAGTTGGTTCCAGTCCACACTCCCACACATTAGGGACTTTAAGATCCAACGACGCGACGGCAATGAGAACGTCGCTTAAAAAGTGAATTTGCGTTCTTTCAGTCTATATCGCAATTATTCCTACCTTCTTGCTTTGTTAAATGTAGGCGAACCCTCCTGGAGTTGAATTCCTAGGCACCATATCCAAGTACAGTAAGAGAAATAAAATTTCCTCGTTGCTTGTTTACGTCCTCCTTAAAACGCGAAATTAGGCATGTTCACGTCGTAGTCGTGCAAAAACGGGCAGAGAAATGTACAAAAAATCATGGTGTACGTGCAAAGTTGTTGTTTTGCTAATCAAACCTATTTTTTTTTTTGACGTTCTCGTTACCGTCCGCGTCGTTGGATCTTAAAGTCCCTATTTACTTCCACTACGGTGGCAGAGACCGTCGCGGTGCAGCTTCACTAAGTTACAGAATTTGCGCCGAGATACCGTTCTTTTGCGTGAATAGAAGCTTTGTCCGATGTGGTTTTTGTGTCCGCGCAAGAGCTATCCGATATGGTATGAACAAAGTCTTAGTCTTTTGTATACTCTAAAAATAGTTCTTCGAGTAAATAAAAAAACATTATTCAAATCATTTTTCAGACAACTGCCAGGCCCTTTTCAGGGAACGCCAGTAGAGCTCTTTATATCACTGTTTCTTTCAAATTTCGTGTTATAGACCTTTCCCGCATTCCGCTCCAGTGTGCACACACACTGTAACGAATTCGAGGCTTAGGTGGACAAATTTCTTTACAATCGCTTTATTCTGGGTATGTTTACACTAGACGACATTTTCCACGTACAGCGTCCCCTTACTGTCTGCCTCGAATAGCTTCTGCTAAATCTAGCTAGTGTGTATGTTTTATGTACTTAATTGCTGTTAATGAAGTTGTTGTTGTTGTTGTTATTGTTGGATTCACATTGTTTCCCGATTTGTTGGCGTAGTGACATTTTCACTGCACTCGCAGTCGTCGTTGCTAAAGCGCCCTAAAGCGTTCCGTATTGGGTTTACCGCAAACTCGCACAATCGAAGGCGGAAAAGTATCCGGATTCGCTGGAAGAATTGTTTACACTACAAAACATCGCGAAGTTAAGAGTAATCGGGTACAAAGTATTCCTGGCACTTAGAGTTTTTATCTCGGATTCAAAAATCTTAAAAATCACCTCTAGTGTTAATGTAGCCCCTGCCAGCCCAAGCCTCGAGATGGTGTATTTGTTGACTGGAATGCGGGTATGCTCCATTCACGTGGAAACGTTCGCAGAGAACACGAAAAGTAATGTCACTGAAGAACGTCATCTGACGCTAAGCTTACGCTATTATTGTTTTGCACAGTATTTCGGATAGGGCCCTAGAGTTCCCTGTTGCAGTTTCTAACATTTTACGGACTTGGCTTTGCCATGTCAATGTGGTTTTAATTATTTTCTTTTCTTTCTTTTTGTTTGTTTTTTTTTGGTTTGTTTGTTTTTATTGTTTTTCAAAGGTTGTTGACATTCGTTATCATTTTAACAAAAGTTTTACACCATGTTTAGGTTAAAACACCAGGCCCCGGTTGTTCTAACGTTGGATAGCGCTATCCAACGGATAAATCACTATCCAGCGGATAAGTATTACGGAAATCAATTACGCTCTCCGCTGGATAGTGATTTATCCGGTGGGTTGCGCTATCCAACGTTTGAACAACCGGGGCCAGTAGTTTTATGCACACCGAATTATACCTTTTTTCAACGCTGATTACTCAGCGTATCGGTTGAATTGTTGCCTTGTCCCGCGCGGCCAATTGCGTTTCGGATCACGTGGTCCGTTCGCCTCGGAAACGCGCTTTTGATCGTATTAATTATTATTAATTATCAAAGTGAATTGACCGAGAAGGCCTGGGTAAACGCCATACAGGCAGAAGGCAAGGTTGAATGCTAGATGGCTTGCTTACGCTTATATTAACATACACTATTAAAGTACTACAATAAAACGGAACAAGAACACTTCTAATCTTTTGTGGATGTTAGAAACTCCGTAAAAAACTTGCAATAAACCGACCAAATTCTTTCTTTAAAACTAGCCAGACAACGAACGCCTTACTAACTTCAAATACTAAACAGTTATGTTGAAATCTAACTGTACGTTTTTCGTAGATAAACTCATCATACGTCTATTGAACACACGATAAACTACTAGCGTGCAAAACGTTTGAGAGTGAGCAAGGGAATCTATCGACTATCCTTTTTAAAAATCGATAAAAAAAAGTTTCGATCTCCACATTGATAACGCCAAATCCTTTGCAATTGACGCCGCGGTTCACTACGTATCTTGTCATGGAGTGCGACAGAAACCTTGTTACAAAAATAATTCGTACACTCAAACGTTTCACCCAAAGTTTAAAATACAAAGAAATATTTCCAGCAGGCAATGAGCTGACCGTCGATCTCATGGCAATCTCTGTCGGACTGATTACATGTAAGTGATCAAAAATTCTGGGTACGACTGACTGTTTTCAAAGACGACAAACAAGGCAGGGTTGCTCATATTATCACAGCACGAGTCAAACAGAACATGAGGGCTAAAGGGGTTCTTGGGTGGTGGCCGATTCAGTGAACTGTCACCATTAGTGTAGGAACCTACCAATACCTTAGCCAAAAACATTTGTTTTTTACCCCTTAACTGACTGGCAGTGAAGCGGTGTGAGTAGTTGGCCTTACAAGCGAAATAACTTCCCTTTCCATACTTTGTGCCGTGCTTGCCGCACATTCGCCAGTCAAAGCCCTGCTGGCAGATGGCGTCAGCAGTCTCGGATTTAGTTCCATGGAACAGCTGCCGTTCTTCGGGATCGCTGCCAGCCTTTTTGGCCATGCGGCTTTTTTCCCTGAAAAGTAAAACAAGAAAGAAACAATTTTGAACCACAGTTGACTATCCTATCAGCAGAGCCTTTCTTTCGCTTGCTTGCTTTGGGCGTAGATCAAGAAGAAGGAAAAAGTATACTCTGCTTGGAGTGGGCGCACGTTACTAATAAGAGGCGCTTAAGCTACTAAAGACTTGAAAGTTGGGCAGAAGGTTCCCAACCCAAAACCCAACCGNCATTAGTGTAGGAACCTACCAATACCTTAGCCAAAAACATTTGTTTTTTACCCCTTAACTGACTGGCAGTGAAGCGGTGTGAGTAGTTGGCCTTACAAGCGAAATAACTTCCCTTTCCATACTTTGTGCCGTGCTTGCCGCACATTCGCCAGTCAAAGCCCTGCTGGCAGATGGCGTCAGCAGTCTCGGATTTAGTTCCATGGAACAGCTGCCGTTCTTCGGGATCGCTGCCAGCCTTTTTGGCCATGCGGCTTTTTTCCCTGAAAAGTAAAACAAGAAAGAAACAATTTTGAACCACAGTTGACTATCCTATCAGCAGAGCCTTTCTTTCGCTTGCTTGCTTTGGGCGTAGATCAAGAAGAAGGAAAAAGTATACTCTGCTTGGAGTGGGCGCACGTTACTAATAAGAGGCGCTTAAGCTACTAAAGACTTGAAAGTTGGGCAGAAGGTTCCCAACCCAAAACCCAACCGCATCATGCCTGAGCCACTTTCTTGGGATTTGTATCAGATCTCACTCTCTCTGAAGATTCCCTCAAATGGCATATTATGTTGGCAATCTTGACTTGCACAAGTCCGTTGGCTTTCGACTGGAAGACCCTGTGTTCGAAAATGAAATAGCTGTCCATAAGCTTATGGGAATACAACAAAGCTATTTGGAAAACAATAGCCAACTCTGGATAACACATTCACAGCCTGCGTCTAGTTTCGAAGACTCTTTTTCTCCAACGTTTTGGAGTTGGCAATTTGCGAAAAACGTAGCTCTTTCCACTATGTCAATTCAGCAGTGGACAATGCATTTGTAGCTCCAGCTCTTGCCAGCGAAAAGCTCATCGAAGATACTGAAGCGTTTTCACAATCAAGTACGCTTCGATCTCTTTTTGATTTCTGTCCTGCAGCATCTCCTAGAAGCTCTTTCCAAAAAACAATATAATAACATTTAACGTAATTTATTTGAAATAGCAAGTGCCTTGACGACCTTTCTCATGATAGCTGGTTTAGCATTAGCGATTTTTAAAAGGGAATTAAAACACAAAGAACATACTGATTGTATCTTATCCATAAATCTGGGTTTTGCACTCGCTCTATCTTGATAATCATGTGATGTACATCCATGGTATCCTGAAATTTCTTTTCTGTCCTCTTGTATTCATCAGATATGGTTTCAAGTTTAACACATTGGAAGTCTTCACCGTCCGAAATAGGACTCCAGTGAGATGGCAAACCATCTAGCTCGGATGACGATGAACTTGTTTTCGGATGGGCCAAAGTAGTTGCTCTACGCCTGATATAACAATAATTTATTACTAAATAAGTAGTTTTAACAGTTGAGAAACGTTTAAAACCTTGAAAACAAATTATACAGCCGTTCTACTCATTTCCTTACAATTTGTCATTTAATTTTATTGCATGAAATCTCTGTTTTCTAAACAATGTGTCCAAGAGTTCCTCATATATTTTACTTTGATTTTTTACTGTTATGGGTTTATGGGTTACATTGTGCCATCACCCTCATACTACCCTATTATGTCATGACGGGAAAAGTGACCTAGCCTGCGAGTAAGCTCTACGGGGTGATACGGCAATGGGGTGGGAAAAGGAGGGAGAGCTTGCAACTATGTCTCTGGAATTTGAATTCCACCTCCAATTCCCCTGTGGCTCACCATCAACTGTCAGATTTTCACCAATCAGTGTGAAGCGGAAACAAGTGCAAATGTAAACAAACATTGAAAACCACGTGCTAAGGGTAATTACGCTATTACTAATATCATCTCTGCCAATCAGCATAATTTTCCATCGACTCTTTTGATGCAGATATTCAAATTCAAGAGACCTAGTTCCAAGCTCTCCTTCTTTTTCCTGCTCCGCCACCAGAGAGTTCCAGAGAGCTTGCTTGAGGGCTAAAAGTGACCAATAATATGGCAAATGGAAAGAGCAAATAAAGGTAAATTAATGCTTCACATGCCTCTGAGCAATGTCTGTCATATTCTGTTTGGTCACAAAGTCAGCAGGCCTCCTTCTAACAGGCCTTTTTGTTTTGTGAACATCATTTTGTTGGTACCATCCTTTGAAGTACAGAGTGTAACGGTGATGAGAGGCACTGAAGGAGTGACAATCATTATCTGGAGAAAAATGAGATGAAGTCAATAACATCATGTCTTCAAGGGAAATAAAATGAAGATCACAGATCAAAAAAAAGAAATTGTCTCTATAGCTTCCAGTTAAAGATGAAGGTAGATCCATTTTTTTTGGAGGGGGGAGGGGGGGTATCAAGGACCACCCCCTTGGTCCATGACAGACAGACATATAATCTTACTTAATGAGTTTAATTTCCAAGCTGAAAATTACTGGGTGAGTTTCTAATTCCTAGAAATGTATTAAAGAAGATGCAATATGAGATTAAAAGGAGAAAAAAAACCAGAAACATATGACAAATTGATTTTCATAAATAATATTGTGGAACTTTTACAAGGAAAACAATTTAGAAAGTTATTTTTGCTTATGCCAGTTTTAATGGCATGTAAACTTAATATTTTGGCCATAATCTACAGCATGGCCTGCTTAAGTCCCTCACCAGATTGATTTAGGTCAACTCTCTCACATAGGACACCTCTAAAGGATGGACAGTTCAATAAAAAAAGACGCCTTAGAACTTGTCTCTACCTTTCTTGACTCCTTTTGTATTCCACTTGCTATAAGATGGGCATCTCTCTACGCTGGACGCATAGTACTGGTCTTAGAAAGAGCTATCTGTAATAAAGGAGAGGGTGATTTCCTACCTGCTGTGTATTCTCTCTCAAGACATTGGCTGCTGGTGGTGTTAACTGCATGTCCATCAGATGGAGTGTCATACGACTGCCACTTGTTATTTTCATCCTGCCAGTACCAATGCCACCTAGTGCTGTACACATGGCCTGCTGCGGCAACCACTGATGACACAGTAGACAGTCGTCGAACCTTGGGAGACTTGTAATTCACAGCTGATAGAGCAAGGAATACATCTTCACTATTTATTTTTCTGTCAACCCCCTTTTTTCACTCACATCTGGTCTTCTAAGGGAAAGTTCATTTAATATGACAAGGGGGGGGATGAAGATATTGAGGGGGGGCTCCGAAAATTTTTAGACACCCGAAGGGGGGGCTCTGAAAAAATTGTTGCGCTAGGAGGGGGGGCTCCAAAAATTTGTATACTTCAAAACCAACACATGACATCATCATACAGATCGGATGGTTTTCAACTCAACAATTTAATGACCTGTGCAACTCAGCTATATCACGTGGTTTACAGATATAACAAATGTAGTCTCAGTAATTATTACACTCTTGTTCATCCCAAAAATGCTTTAGAAAATTGTATCACAACTGTATCTCAAGTTTGTCATAGTATAAACCATTGAAGACAATAACGGTAAATATATTTAATACAGTCTAGCGATCTTTTTTCAGGGGAGCAAAGGAATTGAAGGAGGAGGGGGGGGGGGGCTCTGAAATTTTTTCGACTACCAAGGAGGGGGCTCCTAAAAAATTGAACCGCTAGCGAGGGGGGCTGCTAAAATTTCAAGCTTCGAGTTTCAATATCTTCATCCCCCCCCCTCTTGTCATATTAAATGAACTTTCCCTAAGCTTTCACTTTTGTAACTAACATTTCCCCACTTCTTTTACTACCACAGCTCCTGCTACTGCTACTACTACTACCACCACTGCTCCCACTACTACTTTATCCTAGGGTGCTTACCATTTACACCAACCACCCAGGTGCAAATCTTGTGCATAAACGTAAAACTGTAAAATTTGACATGGTATCAGGCATCAAAAGGGGTAGGTGATTGGGTGGGAGAACAACCTGCCACAAAGTTCTATCCAGCTGAACACATTGAAAAGGGAAGAAAAATTGCATTGCCGCAAATCACAGCCCATGTTTTCTGAAGCTTCCCAACCTGAATTTTTAGTTTTTCCATGCAAATGGTTAAAGTATCCCTAGAGTTGCTATTTTCCAGAAACCACTGAGGTCACCAGCACAGTCCAGCTACAACAAAAGCTTACTCAGCCATGGATAAATTTTAACTTCCCGATTTTATTTTTTGGTACCAATTCCCAGTTTCTCCTAGTCTTGATAAAAATCTTCAACCACTGTTGATCAGCTTTCCAGAAAATTGATATCCTAGAGTATTCTAGGCTCAAACAGATTGATTTCTATACCCTATCCCACACCCTTAACAATGGTACACACCTATATAGCCCATATATGGTAGTACATTCTCCCATGGGATTCAGGCATGACACTATTTGCAGTGGCGGATCCAGGGGAGGCCCTCCTTATTTTTAGAGCAAACTGAGGCCCAAAGGGCGGAAAAAACTTTTTTGGAGACCGGTCCCCCCTCTTATACACGGGTCTGGATGACCGGCCCCCTCCCCTTATCTCAAGATCTGGATCCGGCACTGATTTGTAACTTTCAAAGAGGAGATACTTACCATCATCTGGTAAAACTGGTTCAGCAGTCATACCATCAAATTTAACGCAATGAAGAATTCCTCTGATCATAACTGTACAGCTGCCTTTTTTAACATCACAGTAGGTTTGCTCTAGCATTGTATTTAGATCACTTGAAAAGCTTTCCCACTTTTCGCCATGTACAGAAAATTCCCACAAGTAAGGTAGCTCTGTGTGATGATGGATACAGTTGTTGCCATAGTTACACTTGCCACGCAGATTAAATCCACAAATTTCAGTGTCCTTTTCCTTTTCATCCTTCGCTCTGGAAGTGGGAACTGGGACAACAGGAGTTACTGCTTTGGGAAATACTTTATCAGGCTTTTCAACATCAGAGCTTCCACTGACTGTACGCTTTCTTTCCCTGCCTTTCAAGCGCTGAAGCACTTTTAGCTCACTGGTTCCACCCAAGTCATATTCTTTCAGCACTTTTTTGTTGTGAGGGTCAGAGAAATCATGCTCCCTTTTACAGCCTTCGCCAAACTTACAATCTCCATCAATGAAATGTTCACACACGTGCAAGCAAGGACAATTGTCCCCTTTTTTACAGGTCGCTTTGTTATAGAATTTACAAATATCTGGAACAGATTTTTTGGCAGCAGCTCGTTGTAGTTCACTTTCATCAACGACCATTTTGAAAATCCTTTGTAAAAGGGAATGTGAAGGATCCCTAGTTAAGAAACCGAGGCGGAAGTGATTTAGAACACCAACGGTATGTTCGTCACCATAATTGTGAGATCTTTTGCACTTAAATCCGAATTTGCAGGTTTCCTTGATAAAGAAAGGACATAAATGTAGAGCACTACATCCTTTTGCAACACACCCACCCTTCTCTCCAGCTTGAGTGCAAAACTCTAGTGGGATATCTAACTTAACCATCACTTTCGATTTGGACTTCCCTATCTTAGCCTGACTAAAAAGCTGCGGAAAGCGTTTCACGAATTCCAGTGCTCCGAATTCTGACACCAAACGACGGTTGTGTGAACTGAGTTGCAGTACTAGACCCCCGAGTTCTAATTCTCCTCCATTTCCCAGGAGCAGTTCTATCATTTCCTCCAATGCTTCTCTCGGTGTGCTGGAGTTCGCCATGTTTCTTTGTTTGCTACTTCCGCATCTATGAGCCTGCACTATTTTAATCAGTGGTATATAGTCGTGAGGATAGAGGGTATATTGCATATTGTGTGGCATTTTTAATATATAAACTTTTGACGAGATCAAATTTTGGGGAATTTCAAAGGTAAAATTGAAGCATCTAACAAGCTTCGCCTCTGTTTTTTGTTGATATGTAAGGAAGACGAGTAGAAAAGATCAGCAACACTGAAGAGACCTCCCCTACCATCGTCCATTATGACAATATCTACATCTATCTATAGCGTAGTTCCCTTTCACTCTTGTCTCGGATTTCCTCGGTCCTTGTAGACAAAGTACTTGCATGGCTGCGTTTTAGAAAGGTCTAGGTCCTTAAGGCGAGTTTCAGTAAAAACTTTCTGCAAATTACTGACATTAATTTCTTTCCAACTATAAGCTAGCCTAATCGACTTTAAAATGCAAGTTTTCCTCCAAGTATAAGCCTAGCCGATTTTAAAACTCAAACTTCTCTCCGTATATAAGCCCCCCCCCCCCACCCCCCCGAACATAAGCCCCTCAAAAAGGGCCTTTGAAAAACATAAGCCCTAGCCTGCGTGGCGTTCGAAAGGGAAGGGGAAGAGAATTAGGGCGCGAGACCACACACGCTCTCTCGCGCGCCCAAATTCCCCTTTCCCCTTCCCGTTTCAACGCCAGCCACGCAGGCTACATAAGCCCCGTGGCTTATTTCGGAATTTTTAGGGTATCTATAAATATATCTATCTATATCTACATCTATGAGACAAATACAACGGACACTTGTAAACCCACCCGCGGCTTGGCCACAAAACCAGCGCATTCGCACCGCCATATCACACGGGCAGTCCTGTGTATGGCAGCAGCCCAGGACAGCTGTTTCGCCCTCAAAGGCCAATCATCTTTTTCAGTCAGTTTGCACTCGCTTCGGCCGAGTAGAGGGCCTATGACACACGTCTTTGTCCGTTTACTGACAAGTCCGACGGATATTCCTGATTCTGATGGGGTGCACTTCTTAATATACTGGTCGTTTCGCTTCCAAATAAAGTGGATTCGCTGCAAAGTCGTTTGGCGGCAAGTCGTTTTGCTGCATCACGTCAGGATGGCGCTGAAATTGACTTTTTGTGTAAAACCGTTTAGAAGACACTTATAATTAATTACAAACGGATAACATAGCCTGCGAAAACATCCGTTTCTCTTCGCTCGTCGCGCGGAAACGAAACGTACCCAGCGGTGAAGAGCGAGGAGAAACGGATGTTTTCGCAAGCTACGGATGACACTAACAAGTTACTATTTCACTGAGTTAATCATCGAAAATTGAATGAACACCAGGAATCTTTGAAGCACTTTTCAACTTCGTGATGCAGCGAAATGAGTTTACAACTTCGCCGCGAGTGGACATCATTATGTAGCGAAACGACTTGTAGCAAAACGACCGGACACCGTTCTTGACCTTGCCTGCGGCTCGATGTTCCGCTTGAGTTTTGAACGTTTTGATGTCATTTCCATGGTTACTAAGAATACAGAAAGTGTTAAATTGTTGTCGATTTGTTAATTTTATCATGTCGATCTTGCCTTTAATGCTAAAACATACTACTACAAAACAATCTGAAACTGTGGTTTATTAAGGAGGTATAAGTTTGCGAAAATCGCACCCTTAAAAATGAGTGAACGTCTTTTTTTTAGCTTGTTTAGGGATTATAGGCATCAGGTAGTGGAAACATTTCATAATTAAAGATAGTCCGGTGAAACTTTACCCTCACGCAAAAAATATGTATGTCTATGCGGGTAAAGAAATTCAACTGGAATAGTTACCAAATCACTAGTGGGATGCTACTATTTATTAGGGAAGTAGCCTGCGTAGCATGGCGGTTTTGTCGAGCCGGGCGCCGGAGCGGCGTAGCCGCGAAATTCGCGCGCGAAGCGCGCGAGAACGAGCGGCGAAGCCGCGAGAAAAATAAAAACCGCCTGCCCGGATTCGTGGCCTTTTCAACTGCCGCCCCCTTCAACTCATTTTGACATCCTGTTGACAACTTGTTTGGTTTCAGTTTTCCCAGCCAATCAGAAATAAAGTGTTGACAGCCTAAACACGACACAAAGGCTCGTGATATAGTGTAAAACGTGACCTTGGCCGGAATTGGAGTTTGCTTGAACAAACACAGGTTTTTTTCTTTGTGGATATCTCGCGCATAGGTGACTACATTGCGTTCTAAACTTGACTGAGTAGATCTTATTTTTGCTGCGCTAAGTCTTACATTTATTTAGAGGTCATGAAGTTGGTATGTTTAATCTGTATTGAGTAATTATTTCCTGTGGTTAATGTTATTTTCGCTAATTAGAATTTGTTGATCTCAGATGCAGTTGTAAAGTACTAATTTCTTTGACCACTCTTAAAGCCTAAAGCTTTTTATTACGGTTAAATAAATATTTTAGTTTCTTTGGTCTTTTCCGACTAAAATGCCTGGATCTGGACAACTACAAACCAAGGAGCCTTGGTTTGTAGTTTCTTTGTCACTGCTTTGTCCGTGAATGTTTTGACGCTGGACCCGGCTTTTTAAGTGTTGTTTGCAGGATGTTGTATTTTTACGTATAGCGCGATCTTCAGATTTGAGTTGTAGCTTAAACTTAAGCTACACCAAGCAAAAAAGTATGGAGAATTACGCTGTGCGTCTTTCTTCTACTGTATGCGATTCATCGACCACAATCGCGGACACCGTTCGATGTATTGCGCTGGAGTGCGTTATTCTGTAACACCGAGTAATAGAGAAAATTGAGGTGAACTTTCTCGAAGCACTGAAATTTACTGTTTCTGTCATAAGGTCCATTGCTTTACAGCTCAGCGACAACATTTCAGATATCTGGTCGTCGATAGTACTTTTTAGAGGGGAAATTGTGATCATACAGGTTTTCGATGAGGATATTTCTTCTTTGGCCATAGCAAAGACAGTAAAGATCATGCTCTTGCCAAATCTTGTTGACAAAATTTTCATGACATCTCTCCTTTGAAGAAGACTGTAAATGGCCATTTCCTGTTTAGGCTTCAATACAATTGCCCTGTTTTCCCGTCAAATATTCAAGATCGACGACGCTCCGGTCAACGCTTCTTTGATATTTTGATTTTGTTTTGCGGAGATGATTTGTTCAGTCCCTCGAAACTCTCCCATGGGAGATTACCAAAATAATTGATTGACAGGCGAACATTCCGAACCAATCGGAACGATCCGTACGCTGGCGTACGGACCGACTCAAAAAAGCCCCCCGTCCGTGCAGGCGGTTTTTCAAGTTGCTTCCGCCCCAACCTCCTCGCGGTTTCTCTGCCCTCGCCCGCCTTTATTACTCAGCGCGCCCAACCAAAACCGCCATGCTACGCAGGCTATTAGGGAAGTTAAGAAACTGTAATGACAATGCCAGGGAATATCACTTAAAAAAGAAAACACATCAAGCAATCAAACAAACAAACAACAGAAAACAAGACAAAACAAGCAATAACAATAAAATTCCATTTCTTTTGAGTTACTTTTAATTCTAATAATTTGTTTATGACTTTCAAGCAAATAACCTTAGATGTTCTCTAGTTCACACTTAGTTTTACGTCTTTCATGTTCTCCATGAAACCTGTTAACTATTAGTAAGGTTAATTTGTTGTCAGTGTTGGTGTCTGCATAGATTGTTAGAGAAATCTACTACAATTGTAATAATCGCATGTAGAGGCGTTGTTTTGTTTGCTCACATGCCCTGCTTGTCATGCGCTCGCTGTCATGCTTACTTAAATTCTAGTCTTGGTACTTTCATACTAGTAAAATTCCTCTAATGATACTTCTTGGTCTTGAGGAGACTTAGTAAGGAGATAGAGTGGACGTTGAAAACCTGAAGAAATACAAAAAAACAATTTAATAACCAATGTTTACAGTCTCAAGTAAAAAAGGTTAAAGTGAGCTTTGTGTCAATGAAGCCAATACTTCTGGACCCGGTTGTTCAAACATTGGATAGAGCTATCCACCAGATAAATCACTATCCAGCAGATAAGTATTAGGGAAACCAATTTCGTTATCCATGGGATAGCGTTTTTTCCTGTGGAAAATGTTATCCACCTTTTCAACAACTGGGGTCAGAAGTTTAATCCCAATTTAGTAGCGCAAAACACCTAGTTTTAGGTGTACTGCTAACCCTTAGGGGGTGCTAGTCTATTGCAGGGTTAAGCAGTGAATGAGCCGCTATTAAGCTTCCAGTAACCAAAGTCCTGTGACCACTTTTCCCTTTGCTGAGGGGAGCCATGTAATAGGGGTTTGGCTGTAATACCACTGCTCACATGCGGTCAAACATAGACATCATGAGAACATGGCTGCTAAGAAAAAAAAAATGTCTTGATCTTTCAGCAAATTCTCTATACGGTTGAACTTCTGTGTGTCACCACCACTTGTCTTGTAAGCGACCACCTCCCATAAAACAACCATCTATCCAAAACACCAAATTTTTCCCAGTCAAATCCCTAGATCAGAACCTCTTGTAAACGAACACCTCTAGTAAGTGACCACGACTACTTATCAGCCTGACAGTTTTATAGTTTTCTATTGTTTTTAACCTCTTGTAAGCAAGCACTTGACCCATGGTGTGGTGTCTTAGTTCGCTGTATGTACTATGACACCAGAGTATATGAAGAAATTTCATTGACAACATGGAATGACATATATACAAACATTAGAAGTTGCACACAATAAATTCTCTGCCAAAAAAGTATTGGTAGATGTGTAGGGACCTCTTCTCAGAAGAGACCCCTGTGGTTCAATTCTCATAAGCAACCACTTACACTGTACCACCTCTCATAAGCAACCACTAAATTTTTACATTTTGGATTGTCGCATACAGGATGTTCGACTGTACTGGTACCATAAGTAATGTGTTAAAAACCCTGTGGAGAATTCTTATGTACATAATAGGGTTCCATGGGTTAATTACCAGTTGCTTTGTGTTGTGGTGTCTCTAGAACTTCAAAAGTAGCAAATCCAACTGAGTCTGACAGAAGGTAATCAATGAAGTGCTCTGGGCGGAACTTTATAGCATCATAATTGGAGCGGATCTTTTCCTGTGGAAAAAAGGAAATAGTTTTGAGAAGAAATAAATGGTAGAGTGCTCTAATCTCTCAACTATCCAATACTGCTCTTTACATAAAGTTTTTTCTTCTTTGACAATCACAAGAAATGAAACAATACAAAAGAAATCTATGATGCACATTAAAAGTGAAGTTGTCAATTAACAGTTGCAAATGGTAGTAGTCTTGAAATTAAATAATTATGAAAATAACTGGTTTAACCTGCAGGATTATAGGAAAAATAAACAAAAATTCTACACACAAATGAATATTTAGAATTAGTAAAGTCTTCAACTTGCACTTAAAAATGTTAACAGAACCAGATGAGACCACATTGACTTGCAGTCAAGCAATTTTTTCCCAACAAACCATTATGATTTTGCTGACATTTTAACACGAAAAAATTTCTCTCTGGGATTGGGATTAGTTGGAAGAACTGTTGGAATCGCAGGATAAAGGTAACATGTTGGATGGGATGGGGGATTCCTTGACGCCCAAGTGCAAAAGGGAATCATCAGTGGCCAACTATACGATCCACTCATTTTAAAGAGAGATAATATGCAAAAAAATCAATACACTTACTGTTAAATTCTTCTTCTTCTTGTAAGAAGAGAATGGCTGAGGTTCAAGAATGAGCCTTCCTCCGGGACGCAGGTTCAGAAAAATTCTCTTGAACATGAGTTTCAGTCCTTCATCTCCCCAGTTCAGATGAACCCACTTGGTGAGACTCAGACATAAAATCATGTCATACATTGGCTTCTGTTTGGAAAGTACCTCACTGCTGCTTGGAACATAGTTTTCCTAAGCATTTTCATAGGATAAATAGAGCATTAGGTAGTTATCACCGTAATTTTTTTTTGAAAAGATTCTAACAACCCTCAAAGTTAAAATTTTTGTTCAGTGGCCATTTGGCGATCAGCTCTTTGGGTTTAGTCGCCAGGGGAAATTTTTAGGCGCCAAATTATATTAATGACTTAATATATCAAAATTGTCATTAACAAAAGCAGTTAGCAAGTTTAACTTAAAATGCAGCACTGTCATATAAATTACTCGTTTATTGTGCAAGGCATTAGTTACTGATAGTCTGAGAATAAGGGTTGTAGATTTATCTCCTTGAATCAATACTGAAACGGAAATGTAAAGACAATTACCATTTCCATTTGTCTTTAGGGCCTTCAATCCTACTATATAATCCCCAGTTGGTATATGAAAGCAGAACTTAACTCATCCTCTGTTAATGTTTTCAAAATTTCCCAGTCGCAACTTGATAGGCGACCTATTTTTTTCCTGATATTTGTTTCGCACTTCTTTTGCGACTTTTGTTGATGATGAACTTGTTTCCCCAACTAACAAATATTTTTGGAGATTTAAAAGGTCGTTTTTAATATCGCTAGACATTGCAAAAGCCTGACAAAGGCAGGAGAGTATAGGAAGATTGACAAGTTTTCTAAATGAAATCATTGCTTTACAGAGATAACATCGCACACGTGAAAATTTCGCAACGAGTTGTACTGGGAAAATTTTTTTTTCCCAATCAACTGAAAGGAACCCAAACAAAAATGCCGCCTACGAAATAATAAATTTTCTCTTTCCTTTATCATCGCTACAGGTGTTTAAAAAACATTTTTTGCAACAACCATAAGCTGTCAGTTTTGCGATGTTTAGTTTCGCTTACAATTATCGCATTTGTTTACAAAACTGCGATTCGACTCGCAGCACGGTTCACATGTTACGGTTATCACATAATGTTCTGTGTTGAATTTGCACCAATTTAGCTTTCCCTCTTCATGTTATTAGATTGTTTCAGTATTGAGTCAAAAATATTTATAATATGTAGTCCAGTTAAAAAACCACCGAACTTGGCTAGACAAGCATTCCTAAGATATCGAAGAAATCGTCACTGTCGACAAGCAAGGCGCTTCGATTGCATGCCATCTGTCACATGTCAAAAGTTAAAATGTCACGTGCAAGGCAACAGACTGAAGGCTATTAGGCGAACGAATACAAGTCAAGTTTCATTGATGTTCATTTTCAAAACGCTTAGCTCTGAGACTGTTTTAAGTTTTCAATTTAGCATGTTTTTCAACGGAAAAGTAAAAAAATCATGGAATTCAAATCAGCTAGAAATGTTCTTCATATTTCAGTAGAAGTGATTCCCATTTCTGTTTCTATACGCCACAACACGAACCTATTCTTCACGGTCGCCAGCTTGGCGACTATTCTCCAAATCAAGGCGCCAGTTCCAAAATTTTAGGCGCCATGGCGACTAAAATGGTAGCAACTTGGAGGGTTGTCTAACTAACTAAATGAAAACTGAATATATGGTGTGGCACAAAATTTTGGTGGGTTCTAATTTTTGCGATTTTTCCAGCAATTCTGCAAAAAGAAGCTCCCACAAAAATTTACTCCAGAGTAAATACTTTCTAACTTAAATTTGCTACACAAAAAAAGACTACTAAGAAATTGTGTCTGTTCAATTACAACTTGCCTCCTTCATTCAGAACCAAAACAGTATACAATGAATTACTGGTTTTACATTGGGTATGCATACCGTAGTACTGTTTGAAAATATGCATTTCTATTACATCTACTTAACAAAAATGATAATATTGTCAATGTTAGGTACTGGGTACTTCTGAAAATCGCAAAAATTAATTACCTGCAAGAAAAACCAATCTGTCCCAATTGCAAAAATTAGTTCCTGCAAAAGTACACAAAAAATCGCCAATCCATAAAAAATAAACTTCCGCAAACATTTTAGCCCCACCAGGTAGATTAATTAAGTGGCAGCAGAAAAATATATGGATACGTCACAGGGCAAAATTAAATTCCAGTTAAAATTTTTTAACCTAGGTTGATTCTTAATTTTCATCGTCTCCTAGCCTTGATTCATGGATAATTAATTGATCTATGTCTATGTCTATCTACATTTATGATATTTTTTGTATCAATTTTACCTGCTTGAATATGACGTTGTGTGGAAAGGCAACACTTTCACCTGACCCCAAAACAACAGGAGCAGCAAGAGGTCCACTGGTGACAGAAAATGATATGGGAAAATCCATTTCACCTCCAGAAGTCCCAGGCTCGGCAAGACGACCTTTCACATAATACCGTATATTATTCTTTGCTGCCTTTATTAAACTGGTGTCGATGTCAATTCCCATAATGACATGTGGACTAAAGTCACGAGCTATTGTCAGAGTCACATGACCCACATTACATCCCAAGTCCAGTACATCTTTTCCAGCAAACCACTCTTTCCTAAAACACTTCAGTCGCAAGTCTTGGGTGGCCTGTGGGTTTCTATAACCATAATACCTGTTATAGTTACCATAAATAAAAAGTTTTTCTTTCTTTCCTTTTTTTCCAGCTGAGTGATCTTTGCCTTTCTTAAAATGTTTTTGTTTCTGTGAGCCTCTGTCTCTTTTTGTCTCCAAGATTCCTTTATTTTCGGCTACTGAAGAAGAAGCCTCCATTTTGTTATTTTGGCTGTCTTCAGTTTTCAAATCTTCTATTGCCTCCGAAGCAGTACGCACTTTCTTCTTGGGGCATGGTTCAAGTTCTTCTTCATTGATTAAGTCATCTTTACCATCTGATGACTTAACAACTTTTTGATCGGAGTTACTTATACATGTGTCTTTCTCACTTTTTGCCAGGGAACCATCCTCGCTTTTAGGAATTTTTCTTTTCCTTTTCTTCTTGCCTTCAGAAGTCATACTAACAGGCTGATTAGTAACACCTGACTGCTCTTTTGGCTTCACCTCATTCTCAGAATTGTGATTTTTTGGATGTCGCTTCTTCTTTTTACGCTTCTTAGGTGTTGAATGTGATTCCTTCTTCTCTGGGTCCGGTGGAAAGCGCTTGAGATTTAGAGGATCAGTTTGATCTCGTGGTTCCACAACTTCAACTGGGGATGCACTGTGCACAGATAAAGGAGATGCTTGTGGTGTGACAACAGACGGGTCGCGATCTATCAGACTATTCAAATTCAGTGGATCTTCACTATTTCCTCCACAATGAAACCTGACAGCTTTTGCCCTACACCCTCTCTCCTGGGGTTTTCTCCAAGGTTTCCCATGGGTGGGTCCCAGATCTCTTTGCTTGCTCTGTTTTCCCGGACCAAAAGAACGAAAATCTTTCAAATTTGCTTTGAAGCGCGGAGAAATATTCTTCGTGACGTATTTCTGATTTCCAAGGGGGCTGGTGAATCTCTTTTTGAAGGGGCTTTGGTGTTCGCTTTGTTTTGAGGCCATCTCAACTTCGCTATCTGTAAGGATGTTTTGCTTATAAAATATTCATATCAAGTTCACCGTATGTAAATGAGAGCTTCACCTATCCTCTCAAGCTTGCTCGCATAAAATGCACGTTTAACACAATTTAAGACTCGCGTCGTGAAAACACGCAGAAATATATTGTTGACAATTAGCCAAATCTTTTTCTTCTTCAGCCAGCGTTCACCAAGCTCTCGAATCGAAACTGTCCCAACTCCTTCACAGCTGTTCGCACTTCAGCGAGGTGTCGATTGCAATGACCAAGCCTCAAGAAAAAATCCTTTTCTGTGAAAAGACGCACGCTCCACTTTCCGTTTACAGTAGTTTTAAACTCAGTACAAGCCCTCTATTTCCACTTACCAGCCCGACGCTTCAATGTGGTGTTATTTCAAAGAAATTACGGCAATCAATTCAGTCTCGCTCTCTTCTCCTCCCGCCACCCTTCCCAAGTTCTTCGACCACTTTTCAGAGCTCTTCAACGTGTTTTCGTCGTTGATTGTCTGCATTGCGCAGGCGTGCGTCTCCTATTCAAAATACACTTTGTGTCCCATATTTGACATAGACAACTGTGACTTACTCCGCTGATCTAATAACTACGGGCTCAGCCTCGTCATTCCTACCAATATCAGCGCAGCGCAATATCGAATAGTTGGTACTTATTTTGTAAAGGAAATGTGGATATCTCAATAAATCGCAAAATAAAGTAGCTAGCCTTTCATCATTTACTCTTTAAGGCAATGCACTGAACTCTTGATGGCGCAACGTAGTTCAAAGGAATTTCTCATCTGCATGGCGCCGTTCTCTTAGAGGTTTGTGGTCTATTGTTATTGGATCTCCGTCAAAATAAGTCTTATCTGTAGGAACATCAACGATTGCAATGAACTTCAAATTATAAGACCAGAGAAATATGTTTCTATTAAAGTTTGGGTGTATCCTATTTGTATTTGTGAGGTTCTTTTTCTTAGCTTCCGGTGGTAAGTGCTTTTACAGGAGCTAATAGTGTAATTTATCTCAGTTAATGTGAACTCGTTAATAAATAATTTTTTTGTAAGCTTATTGTAACTCTGGACTATTTTCTTTGGCCATGGGGCATACTATTTTGTAGGACTTTTATTTTTGTAAAGATCTATCAAGTTTTATGTGACTATTCTTTGTCTAAGCTAAAAGTATAAAGCGTAGCTTGACTCTTTAAAGCTCACTAATTAGGTCACCTTTTTCTGCCATTTACGGTCAATGTATGTGGGGGCGGGGTGGGGGGCGAGGACGACAGCTCCCTAAGTTGATTTAATTTTAGTTTTTACTGCTAGAGTTTACATATAAGTATAAAACATGCTGTGGCTATATGCCTGGCAGCTGGGAAGGGTCTTAAAAAAAAACTAAATGTGTGGCAGTCAGAAAACTTTGTAGAATTTCTATGAGGTCCCTTTCCCTAACCTCTTGAAAGTATTCTATCTTCAGTTAGAATTTTAGTATTTGTAACTTGATTTTTAATTCTTTATAATCACAGTCAGAGAATACATTAGGCTGTATGGATTTTTTGTTTAGAATCTTTTTGTAGTTTTGTAATATTTTATTGTAATTTTTGATTGTTTCAAATATGTTTTAGATCCGTTGTCGTTGTAGTTTTTACTGTGGTCGTGTTCATAATTTGTTTGAAAGAGTTTTATCGTGAACTCGAGCTCAAAATAACGGTCGATCAATAGACAATCTTCTTCCAGAAATATGGCGACGTGACCGACCAAAAACTTCACTCACCAGTCATGTTAACCAGACACACATTCCCTAATTTTTGAACAAACAGCCAAATCATCACTTGTAAATCGTAGATAATTTTGTTTCTTTATAAAGATTCAATCACATTCACAAATAGAAAATTACACAAGGATGAGTTAACTTTTTTCCCAATTATATTTTAATCACAATTCCTCTGTTATGGTAAATTTTTAATGTTTCTCATCAATTCTGCATTTCTTTTTTGTTTTAGTGCAGTGCAATAATCTTCACAAATCAAGTTACCAGCAATGAAAATATTTGCAGTACTGTCAAGATTTGTGAGAGTGCTATTCCATTAACGTAGGGGTGCTGTTCTCATTCAGTCTGGATTTAAAAATGGCGCCAATTGTTCCAAAAACTCATGAAGGCGGTGCACAAACACCTTCATCACCCGGGCAACACAAGACGTTTACCTTTGAAATAAAGGAGAAATTTGTGCGGCAGTCTGTTATGATGTCACTATGGTTTGTCTTCAGTTTTGGATCTATTATATCAAACAAGTACATTTTGTCGACATTAGATGGTGATGCTGGCATCCTTGGGGAGACGCAGATGGTCTGTTCTGTTATTTTTGGGGCTCTCAAGATGTACCTCCCTTGTTGCTTGTTTCATCGAACCTCTGGCCATCATCAAGATGGACATAAGTTTCATTTCTTTCGTAACATGGCGATTCTAGGCTGGATGAGGTAATTATTGAACATCTTTTATTTCTTAGAAGCACCATCAATAATATAAATTATATAATTTAATTATTATATATCAGGGTTGTCAGAAAGTTTTGAAGTAGATGGCTGAGTTGCCAAAGTATGCAGCCAGTCCAGGGATATTTTATTTAAAAAACGCCATCTGTAAAGAAATGTCAAGCAGAGTAGCTGGTCGATACTAACCAAGTAGGTGGCGATTTTCGAAGGAGCCGGCTACTTTTGAGAACCCTGATATGTGCCGTGAAACTTGCAATAAATTGATATTGATGTAATAGGATATCTTGCCGACAGAGTAGCCTGAGAAAACAGCCGAAATTTTGAGATGGAATCCCCGGTTTCCTCATGAAATTAGACATTTGAGAAACAAGTACTGAAATTCCACACTGATGACACAACACTTCTGATCTGGGCAGTGAATTCTGAGCAGCTGAAAATTTGGTTCATCCAATCAAAAGTACTACCTGGATCCGTAGTGACATGTTAACAGAATAAAAATTTTTGAGCTCATTTCTCAGACATCATCTCGGAAGGAAACCAGCGGTGGTCACAGGAAAAAATAACGGATTCCCAATTTTGGATATTTTAGGGTATTTAAAGAATTACCCATAAAAAATCCCAAATTTGGCAAAGTGAGACAAGTCCCAACCAGGGAATTCCCAACCAAGTTCCCTGTTTGGGACTTGTCTCACTCTTCCAAATTCGGGATTTTTGTGGGTATTCTTTAAATACCCTAAAATATCCAAAAATGGGAATCCGTTATTTTTTCCTGTGGGTGTTGCAAAATGTTGGCCGTTCTCTCAGGCGAGACCAGAGGGAAGGTAGAAGTGTACAAAGGGTGATTAGGTGGAGACGGGTGATGAAAACAGTTTCAAATGAAAACAATAGTCATTGATAGTATGTGTAAAAGTTTTTGCACTCATTTCTCAGACATCATCTCAGAGTGAAATCCACACTGGTTTTCACCAGAAATTGATCAGATTTTTCATGATAAATATATTTTGAATAAAAACACCTTCCAAGTTGAAATCCAACCAATATCCTGTCTTTAATAATGACTTGGAGACCTAGGAAATGAGACTTCAAGGAGTTAAAATCCAAAAAATTAATTTCCTGGGGGAACCGGCCCCGAACCCCACTTAAAGCTTGCAACTTGTGCAAGGGGGGATTGAGCAGAGAGGGGTTACAAAAACAGTTTCAACAAACGATAGTCACTGCATGCTCATGACCTTTAGTAATTCAGTTTCTTGTATATTGTTTGTGACCCTGTATCTTCTTTCTCTGTAAATTTATCCTTAGGAGGACATAACTATTGTGTTATATTTCTAGCAACTCCGAAAGATAGTTAAATTTAAGCTTTTATAAATAAATGAGGAAGAGAAAGAGGTAAATGTTGATTGTGACTTATGAGTGTTGGACAAGAATAAACTCTTGAACAAACTCTCTAACAGGTCATGTGTTCAAATGAATAATTTTTTCTTTTTTTCTACCTGGATGCTTGTGGCATAATAAACATTCAATATAGTAGAACGACAGTAACTTGAACTCTGAAGGGAAATGAAAAACAGTTCAAGTTACTTGTATTTAAGAGGAATTGAGTTGGGGTAAATTTCAGTAAAGTTTTCATTTTAAAAGGGAAAGGAAATTCAGTTCAAGTCAGCAAGGAATTTGAGTTATCTAAGTATATTTTTATCTTATAATGATAACATTTTTGCTGTTTCCCTTAAGATTTGCGACAATTGTTTGCTCTCTCATTACTCTCAAGTATGTTGCTGTTTCATTCTCTGAAACGGTGAAATCTTCAGCACCAATATTCACTGCAATTATTGCTTGGATAATGCTAGGTCAGTGAAAAATAATTATTTCTTAATTATAATTTTATTATTTTGTTAAATGAAATGAACATAATAAATTTAATTAACCCAACTTTTATTGACTGTTGGCTTAAAAGGAAATTTTGGCTATAATTGTTCGTTATAATAATATTTTTAACTCCCGCTCTGGCCTGACTAGCTGAATTTGTCCTCAGCCCAGTTAAAGTTTGCTGCAGATTCCAAAGAAAAAAATTCACATAAATAATCAAGTTTTATTTTGTAAAAATGAAGGAATAAACAGTTCCATTTGAAAGTACTGCTGAAGGGGTTTTATTTGAATGGTAACATCACAGGATTTCATCTGCAGACTCAAAAGTTAGAACTATACGTACTAACTAAGCTGTACCATGCAAAAGTACTGCTGAAGGGGTTTCATATGAATGGTAACACTAAAGGATTTCATCCACAGACTCAAAAGTTAGAAAGTCTACATACTAAATAAATAGTACCATGTGAAAGTACTGCTCAAGAGGATTCATTTGATTCGTAACACCATAAGATTTTGTTCACAGACTTTTAAGTTAGGATTGCCAATTAAATCACTTCACCATAACATGGTCTAGGGAAAAAATAACAGATTCCTAATATTGGATATTTTAAGGTATTTAAAAAATACCCCCAAAAATCCCAAATTTGACAAAGTGAGACAAGTCCCAACGAAGGAATTCCCAACCAAGTTCCCTGGTTGGGACTTGTCTCTCTCGTCCAAATTTGGGATTTTTGTGGCTATTCTTCAAATACCGTAAAATATCCAAAAATGGGATCTGTTATTTTTTTCTGTGAATTAGGATTAATAGATATTAGGGAGTTTAAGATCCAACAACGTGATGACAGTAAGAACTTAAAAAAAAATCAATAGGTTTAATAAGCGAAACAATAACTTTGCTTATGCATCACTTTTTTGTATTTTTCTTTGCTGTTTTTATACGATGTGAAACTGACTAATTTCACGTTTTATGGGGAACATAAATAAGCGACTGGGAAATTTTATGTCTATTTCTGAACAGCTTGGATCTGGTCCCCTGGAAATATTCAACTTCAGGAGTGTTCGCCTACATTTGATAAAGTATAAGTGACGTTAAAGTAACTATAAATAATATTAATAATGATACTTATTATGTACCAACCAATTTTGCTTTTGTTATTTTGCAGGAGATAAATCAACTTTATTAGTAAATCTTTCACTCATTCCCATAATGGCTGGGCTCTCACTTTGTACAGCTACAGAACTAAGTTTCAACATGGTTGGATTTATTTCAGCTCTTTTAAATAATGTTATGGACTGGTGAGTGATGCCTAGTTTATTTCTGCCATTACCTAGCTATTGATCGAACTGAAAGGTCCTTGGAAGTGTTCCAAACATACAACTTTAATACTCACCTAAGAAAACAGCCAACATTACTGGTGGTTTCCTCGTGAAATAACATCCAACAGAAATTTCAAGTGCTGGTGTGTCACTACGCAGTTCTGGGGAGTGCATCTTATTGCCTGAAGCCAATTTCCCACACAGCATGACCATTCAATCAGATAGTGACATGTCATATAGGTGGGATTTCTGCGTTCTGGTATCATTTTATGGGGAAACCTGACATAGTGAAATGTTGGCTGTTTTCTCAACCTCGTTCCCAGCGTGGCAGGTAGGAGAGAACCCTGGGAATGAGGTTGAGACTGATAGAACTCATTTTAGAAGATTTCCTCTTACTCTCTCCTGTGCTCTCTATAATCTATAGTGAGGGTTAAAAGAAAGTTATGAACAACAACAACAACAACATTTCGAAGAAGGTTGCTGGTTACTGTGTTGCCAGTTTTCATGTTACATTATCAATGAGCAAGGAATTAAACTCTGGACTGCCAAGGGACAAATACATTTTACATGTTGTTTTCAAAGTTGGACTTGAACGCAGGATTGCGATTCCAGCATACTGACTACTCGGCCATGCCTTCACTGCTCCCAGGAAGATATAAGCCCATCAGAAATGTAGAATTGTTTTGATTTTAATTAATAATGATTATTTAATGATTATTATTAGTCATAGTAATAATAAAATTAATATTATTGTTTGGTAGTTTTCAGAATGTATTTTCCAAGAAGCTTCTAAGTAGCGAGCATCCTTATAGGTAAGAACTCAGTTGATCATCTGCAAGCAGATGTTTGCTATATTACCTTTAAGCTGCATGCATTCTATACCTGCCAACTCTCACGCCTGTGGGTTGAAAACTTTGATCTCACGCCGGCTTACGCTTGTGGGCCAATTTCTCACGCCTAATTGAAAAATGTGAGTTGTTGCCGTCTTGCTTGACACAATTTCCAAAAATATGTTAACTCAGACCCATTTGTAGAATTTCTATGAGGTCCCTTTCCCTAACCTCTTGAAAGTATTCTATCTTCAGTTAGAATTTTAGTATTTGTAACTTGATTTTTAATTCTTTATAATCACAGTCAGAGAATACATTAGGCTGTATGGATTTTTTGTTTAGAATCTTTTTGTAGTTTTGTAATATTTTATTGTAATTTTTGATTGTTTCAAATATGTTTTAGATCCGTTGTCGTTGTAGTTTTTACTGTGGTCGTGTTCATAATTTGTTTGAAAGAGTTTTATCGTGAACTCGAGCTCAAAATAACGGTCGATCAATAGACAATCTTCTTCCAGAAATATGGCGACGTGACCGACCAAAAACTTCACTCACCAGTCATGTTAACCAGACACACATTCCCTAATTTTTGAACAAACAGCCAAATCATCACTTGTAAATCGTAGATAATTTTGTTTCTTTATAAAGATTCAATCACATTCACAAATAGAAAATTACACAAGGATGAGTTAACTTTTTTCCCAATTATATTTTAATCACAATTCCTCTGTTATGGTAAATTTTTAATGTTTCTCATCAATTCTGCATTTCTTTTTTGTTTTAGTGCAGTGCAATAATCTTCACAAATCAAGTTACCAGCAATGAAAATATTTGCAGTACTGTCAAGATTTGTGAGAGTGTTATTCCATTAACGTAGGGGTGCTGTTCTCATTCAGTCTGGATTTAAAAATGGCGCCAATTGTTCCAAAAACTCATGAAGGCGGTGCACAAACACCTTCATCACCCGGGCAACACAAGACGTTTACCTTTGAAATAAAGGAGAAATTTGTGCGGCAGTCTGTTATGATGTCACTATGGTTTGTCTTCAGTTTTGGATCTATTATATCAAACAAGTACATTTTGTCGACATTAGATGGTGATGCTGGCATCCTTGGGGAGACACAGATGGTCTGTTCTGTTATTTTTGGGGCTCTCAAGATGTACCTCCCTTGTTGCTTGTTTCATCGAACCTCTGGCCATCATCAAGATGGACATAAGTTTCATTTCTTTCGTAACATGGCGATTCTAGGCTGGATGAGGTAATTATTGAACATCTTTTATTTCTTAGAAGCACCATTGATAATATAATATAATCAGGGTTGTCAGAAAGTTTTGAAGTAGACGGCTGAGTTGCCAAAGTATGCGGCCAGTCCAGGGATATTTTATTTAAAAAATGCCATCTGTAAAGACATGCCAAGCAGAGTAGTCAGTCGATACTAACCAAGTAGGTGGCCATTTTCGCAGGCAGCCAGCTGGTTTTGAGAACCCTGATATGTGCCGTGAAACTTGCAATAAATTGATATTGATGTAATAGGATATCTTGCCGACAGAGTAGCCTGAGAAAACAGCCGAAATTTTGAGATGGAATCCCTGGTTTCCTCATGAAATTAGACGTATGAGAAACAAGTACAGAAATTCCACACTGATGACACAACACTTCTGATCTGGGCAGTGAATTCTGAGCAGCTGAAAATTTGGTTCATCCAATCAAAAGTACTACCTGGATCCGTAGTGACATGTTAACAGAATAAAAATTTTTGAGCTCATTTCTCAGACATCATCTCGGAAGGAAACCAGCGGTGGTGTTGCAAAATGTTGGCCGTTCTCTCAGGCGAGACCAGAGGGAAGGTAGAAGTGTGCAAAGGGTGATTAGGTGGAGACGGGTGATGAAAACAGTTTCAAATGAAAACAATAGTCATTGATAGTATGTGTAAAAGTTTTTGCACTCATTTCTCAGACATCATCTCAGAGTGAAATCCACACTGGTTTTCACCAGAAATTGATCAGATTTTTCATGATAAATATATTTTGAATAAAAACACCTTCCAAGTTGAAATCCAACCAATATCCTGTCTTTAATAATGACTTGGAGACCTAGGAAACGAGACTTCAAGGAGTTAAAATCCAAAAATTTCCTGGGGGAACCGGCCCCGAACCCCACTTAAAGCTTGCAACTTGTGCAAGGGGGGATTGAGCAGAGAGGGATTACAAAAACAGTTTCAACAAACGATAGTCACTGCATGCTCATGACCTTTAGTAATTCAGTTTCTTGTATATTGTTAGTGACCCTGTATCTTCTTTCTCTGTAAATTTATCCTTAGGAGGACATAACTATTGTGTTATATTTCTAGCAACTCCGAAAGATAGTTAAATTTAAGCTTTTATAAATAAATGAGGAAGAGAAAGAGGTAAATGTTGATTGTGACTTATGAGTGTTGGACAAGAATAAACTCTTGAACAAACTCTCTAACAGGTCATGTGTTCAAATGAATAATTTTTTCTTTTTTTCTACCTGGATGCTTGTGGCATAATAAACATTCAATATAGTAGAACGACAGTAACTTGAACTCTGAAGGGAAATGAAAAACAGTTCAAGTTACTTGTATTTAAGAGGAATTGAGTTGGGGTAAATTTCAGTAAAGTTTTCATTTTAAAAGGGAAAGGAAATTCAGTTCAAGTCAGCAAGGAATTTGAGTTATCTAAGTATATTTTTATCTTATAATGATAACATTTTTGCTGTTTCCCTTAAGATTTGCGACAATTGTTTGCTCTCTCATTACTCTCAAGTATGTTGCTGTTTCATTCTCTGAAACGGTGAAATCTTCAGCACCAATATTCACTGCAATTATTGCTTGGATAATGCTAGGTCAGTGAAAAATAATTATTTCTTAATTATAATTTTATTATTTTGTTAAATGAAATGAACATAATAAATTTAATTAACCCAACTTTTATTGACTGCTGGCTTAAAAGGAAATTTTGGCTATAATTGTTCGTTATAATAATATTTTTAACTCCCGCTCTGGCCTGACTAGCTGAATTTGTCCTCAGCCCAGTTAAAGTTTGCTGCAGATTCCAAAGAAAAAAATTCACATAAATAATCAAGTTTTATTTTGTAAAAATGAAGGAATAAACAGTTCCATTTGAAAGTACTGCTGAAGGGGTTTTATTTGAATGGTAACATCACAGGATTTCATCTGCAGACTCAAAAGTTAGAACTATACGTACTAACTAAGCTGTACCATGCAAAAGTACTGCTGAAGGGGTTTCATATGAATGGTAACACTAAAGGATTTCATCCACAGACTCAAAAGTTAGAAAGTCTACATACTAAATAAATAGTACCATGTGAAAGTACTGCTCAAGAGGATTCATTTGATTCGTAACACCATAGGATTTTGTTCACAGACTTTTAAGTTAGGATTGCCAATTAAATCACTTCACCATAACATGGTCTAGGGAAAAAATAACAGATTCCCAATATTGGATATTTTAAGGTATTTAAAAAATACCCCCAAAAATCCCAAATTTGACAAAGTGAGACAAGTCCCAACGAAGGAATTCCCAACCAAGTTCCCTGGTTGGGACTTGTCTCTCTCGTCCAAATTTGGGATTTTTGTGGGTATTCTTCAAATACCGTAAAATATCCAAAAATGGGATCTGTTATTTTTTTCTGTGAATTAGGATTAATAGATATTAGGGAGTTTAAGATCCAACAACGTGATGACAGTAAGAACTTAAAAAAAAATCAATAGGTTTAATAAGCGAAACAATAACTTTGCTTATGCATCACTTTTTTGTATTTTTCTTTGCTGTTTTTATACGATGTGAAACTGACTAATTTCACGTTTTATGGGGAACATAAATAAGCGACTGGGAAATTTTATGTCTATTTCTGAACAGCTTGGATCTGGTCCCCTGGAAATATTCAACTTCAGGAGTGTTCGCCTACATTTGATAAAGTATAAGTGACGTTAAAGTAACTATAAATAATATTAATAATGATACTTATTATGTACCAACCAATTTTGCTTTTGTTATTTTGCAGGAGATAAATCAACTTTATTAGTAAATCTTTCACTCATTCCCATAATGGCTGGGCTCTCACTTTGTACAGCTACAGAACTAAGTTTCAACATGGTTGGATTTATTTCAGCTCTTTTAAATAATGTTATGGACTGGTGAGTGATGCCTAGTTTATTTCTGCCATTACCTAGCTATTGATCGAACTGAAAGGTCCTTGGAAGTGTTCCAAACATACAACTTTAATACTCACCTAAGAAAACAGCCAACATTACTGGTGGTTTCCTCGTGAAATAACATCCAACAGAAATTTCAACTGCTGGTGTGTCACTACGCAGTTCTGGGGAGTGCATCTTATTGCCTGAAGCCAATTTCCCACACAGCATGACCATTCAATCAGATAGTGACATGTCATATAGGTGGGATTTCTGCGTTCTGGTATCATTTTATGGGGAAACCTGACATAGTGAAATGTCGGCTGTTTTCTCAACCTCGTTCCCAGCGTGGCAGGTAGGAGAGAACCCTGGGAATGAGGTTGAGACTGATAGAACTCACTTTAGAAGATTTCCTCTTACTCTCTCCTGTGCTCTCTATAATCTATAGTGAGGGTTAAAAGAAAGTTATGAACAACAACAACAACAACATTTCGAAGAAGGTTGCTGGTTACTGTGTTGCCAGTTTTCATGTTACATTATCAATGAGCAAGGAATTAAACTCTGGACTGCCAAGGGACAAATACATTTTACATGTTGTTTTCAAAGTTGGACTTGAACGCAGGATTGCGATTCCAGCATACTGACTACTCGGCCATGCCTTCACTGCTCCCAGGAAGATATAAGCCCATCAGAAATGTAGAATTGTTTTGATTTTAATTAATAATGATTATTTAATGATTATTATTAGTCATAGTAATAATAAAATTAATATTATTGTTTGGTAGTTTTCAGAATGTATTTTCCAAGAAGCTTCTAAGTAGCGAGCATCCTTATAGGTAAGAACTCAGTTGATCATCTGCAAGCAGATGTTTGCTATATTACCTTTAAGCTGCATGCATTCTATACCTGCCAACTCTCACGCCTGTGGGTTGAAAACTTTGATCTCACGCCGGCTTACGCTTGTGGGCCAATTTCTCACGCCTAATTGAAAAATGTGAGTTGTTGCCGTCTTGCTTGACACAATTTCCAAAAATATGTTAACTCAGACCCTGGATGTAAGGAATGAAAACCATGTGTAAAATGAATAAATGACAATACCTTCCTCGCGATCTCTGATTTTTGAAGTGAAAAGCAAGTGAAAACTTCGCCTTTGGCAGACTTCGGATGTCTTCGGAAGACTTCAGACTTCTTCGAGAATCTTTGGAAATGATCGTGTCGTCTTTAAAAATCCCAGCACTCCCAGGATAAAAATCTCATGCTTATATCTCAGAAAAAGTTGGCAGGTATAGCATTCAGGTGCAACAAAGGAAATAGCTAGGAGATATTATCTGCACACAGGCTGCTCATAATGTTGATCATGATCAATTTTTTCTGTTCTGAATCAGCAAGCAGTCAAGTCTTAATCTTGACAGCTTCAAAAACATCTATATTTTTTCCATTGTTCATGAGTGAGGACACTGGTCAAATAAATGGGCAAGAGTGAGTGCAAAAACAGAGATAATGAGACATGTTGTTAGAAGCTTATTAATTTTCTTCCCCTCAAAAGGAATTAAGGGCTTATTAGAGAGGGGGTGGGGCTTAATAGAGGATTTACAATTTAGCTGAATTATTTATACGCTTAACATTAGTTATAATTCACAGTTTTCTTTTTCAGTCCCCCAGAACTTCAGTTCTATACAAGTGCTGCTGCAATTGCTGTTCAACTACCTTTCTGGTTCTTTATGGTGAGGTTTTGCTCAATTATATAGTAACAGTAACTGTAATATTTATGAAAGAAAGCAGTTTAGAAATCCTGCTTTATGTTTTAATTAACAAGCCGGTTATGTAGCCAATCAAGATTTTAGTTCAAAGGCACAAAATTATTGGCCGTTATCACACTAGAGATGAATTATCCGTCTGGGACGGGTTATCCGTTAGATAATTCGCACCAGACAGATAACACAACTTTAATTATCTGAAAATGGAACGGTTTTAATTTTTGATGAACAATCTAATCTGCCTGACTTTATCCATCTGTTCATCCATCAATTTTGCTGGATTTTGGATGTTGGTAGAAATTCAAATCAAAGGCAATAAAATTTAATATTGGAACTAGTTAGTTTAGATTGCATTTTTGGTTTTAAAAATTTATTGTTTTTGTTTAATTTTGTTCAAGGAGTGGCCCAGTGAAGTGAAGTTGACAGAGAACAGATTTTTAATATTTATTTTTTTATTAAATGGATTCATGTTCTACATGCAAAGCCTTACAGCCTTTGGACTCATGTCACTCATATCACCAGTTACATTCAGGTATGGATTTATAAATTACTTTCCGCCAGTTATCATAAATAGTTTACAAAGCAAGGCTATTTGTCATAGTAATGACAGTATTCCCAACAGTCACCAGAAAATGGCTTTATTACACAGGCTGTCATTGTAATAACAACACCACAATGGTGGAAATCATGCAAGGTGGCAATGGCTATTAGTGTAGGGTGTTTTAACCCTTCAAGTCCCAATAGTGACCAACATCAATTTTCTCCTAACAATATCCATAGATTGTCAAGAGCAAAGTCTATGAGAATTAATAAAATGATCACCTCAGGGAAAATGCTTTGATCTTTTATCAAATTCTCTCAACTAATTCTTAAAGGAAATGTATAGAGATAAAAAAGTCTGGAGAATTTGTAAGTGGATATTAGGGCTTGAAGGGTTAATACTAGATAGTTTGGTCCCCTTATTTACTGTGCTTTCCAAAAACTTGTGAACTCTGAAGTTTGAAAGCTGCCTTCATGAAAATACATAGATTTCATTGGGAATTTGACTGTGATGATGTAGTTATCAGGCTTTTCCCTGCTATTTTTATAAAAGCTGTGGAAAATGTTACATGAAAATGAGCATCACTTAATTAGGCCCTTCTTCTTGGACCCCAATTTATAATAATTATTATAATAATCTTATCAGCATCTGAGTATAAAATTATTTGTAATTTTGTAGCCCAAGAAAGCAGCTGACATTGTGCAATATGCCACCAATGGATCCCACGCGAAATTGATGTCTGAGGAGTGTGCACAGAAATTTCATTCTGATGATCGAGGCTGCTTCCGATCCGGGGGGGGGGTACTTTAGGAATTTCTGGGTGGGGATGTGCCGCTGGGTTCCTGGAACCCTTAACCTATACTAGAGTAAACTCCCCAAATCCCCCTGATCCTAGAGTAGCTGTTTTTCAGAAACTACTGAGGTCACTAGCACAGTAGTCTAGCCGAAACAAAACCTTATTCTGCAATCCCTAGTCTAGATTAAATCTTCAACCAACTGATCAGTTTCCTGAAAAAAGGTACCCTATTCTAGACCCAAAGCCTCTGGTTTATATACCCTATCCTAGAGTAAACTGCTTGCAAACCATACCCTTCACAGCAGCACATACCTATATAGCCCATACATGGCAGTACCCCCCCCCCCCCGGGCTTCTGATGGGTTGAAAATTTTTTCCACCCACAGTGCCTGAAATACTGCCCAGATCTGGGGCGGGATGATATGCGTGATCAGTGTGGAATTTTCTTGCTCCTTCCCCACTCTCAGATGTCTTTTCTTTGGGA